CTGAGTTTGCAGCAACGCTGCGCGACGGCACAAAACTGTGCCCAGACTTCCAATCTGGGAAGTGTCGCAATGGGGGTGATTGCCCACGCGGCAAGCACCGCTGCGCGGTCATATTCCGCTCCGGCCGTGTCTGCGGATCGCCAGACCACCCGGGCAACAGGTGCAGGTTCCTCAACCGTGCCTGAGAGCCGGAGTCGCCCGGCATTGCAGAAAACAGCGTGTTCGCTGAGTGTTCTGAAGTGCATTGTCCTGAGTTGCAGGGCACGCAATTTCCACGGTTTTATGCCGAGTTGCAATCAATCTGGGAATCCACTGAGTGCGTTTGTGATACCTCGTGCCAGGCCCTGCCAGGCGCCAGTCTTTTTAGATCTGCTGTCGGGGCCTCGGTGCCCTCTCAGTCATGCGTTTGCACTTGCGGGGTGGAGAGTTTTGCAGCCAGTAGACTTGCAGATTGATCCGTTGTTTGATGTGACATCTGCGGTTGTGCAGCATGCCATCGGGTCAGCATTGCCCTCCTGTCACCTGTCATCAGCGGCGATCGACTGCTCCACTAAGTCCCGCATTCGCGAGGTACCCATGCCTGGTTGCAAGCTGGCTCCTAAACCTCTTAGATCCCAGGACCAGCCACGAGGTCTCCCAAACCTTACCGCTAGGGATGCAGCTAGAGTGGAACGTGACAACACTTGTTCCGATTTCCTGCTCGCCACCCAGCAGGTTCTCCAGCAGCGCGGTCGAGGTGCATTCCGGGAGAACCCCGGTCGTAGCTTGCACTGGATAGACCCATGTGAAGAGGCCATGTTTCGGACTGGTCATTGGTGTGACTTTGAGTACCATGCATGTGTATTCATGGCTGCTAGGCGTAAGTTCCAGCGAATCCGGCACTGCATCCCCAATCTGTCTCAGATGCCAGCATACACGTGTGGGCATTTGCATGCAGAAGACGAGTGGTCACGTGCTCCTGTAGGCAGTCCCCACCAATTCCCAAGTTTGGAGGAAGCTGAGTACACCCCCAGCCTGTGTTTCACGTTGGTGGCTGCAGCATCACAGTGGGCCATTGATCGCGGGTTTGCGGTGTATCGCATCCAGCGCCTTCCATCTGTGCATACCAGTGGGGACTGGCGAGGGCTGCTCGAGGTACCAGCTTGGGCCCTCAGGGATGAGTTGCTCCACCGAGTTGCAGCGTTTGTGGGCCTCCCCTCTGGCGATGACACGCCCACAAGAGTGTGCATCAAGGACATTCAGCAGCCCCAAACTCCTCTCCCGCCGGATGTTGTGTACATCGGCCATAGCCATTTCTCCCACAGGGAACCGACAACATGTTGGGAGAACCCCTTCCACACTGGGAGAGACGGTACCCCAGAGCAAACGGTGTATTCCTATGCAGGTTGGCTGCCTGAGTCAGGGTTGTTCCACCGCGTGCACGAGCTGGCGGGAAAGCGCCTGGCGTGCGACTGTGCCTTGTGGGACACATGCCACGGGGATGTCTTGATAGCTACGTTTGCTATGCTCCCGGGTGGCACTCGACCCAACCAGCATGTTCGGAAAGCCCGCAAATTTCGCTTTGCCGTGGCAGCAGGGACGCCTATCCCGGCATCCGTTGACTACCCCATATCTCAGGCATCCATTGCATCTGCTGCTCAGAATGTCCTACTGGGACCACTAGGCCCGAAATTGCGTTGGCCCTACCTGGCAGACCTCATCAATTCCCCGTTACTCAAGGCGTACCCCGCCTGGCTTCAGGAGAACGGACGGTCTCCACACGGGCCTCTGGGGCCCGGGTTGCACGGAGTTGCGTGCACCATGGCCCAGCGAGCCAGCTCAGCGACGCAGTCTACTGCCGTTAACAAAGCATCCGCGCTACCGCCTGTCATTCCTTTCGGGATGTCTCCCGACGAACACTTCGAGGCAGCACTGCGCTGTCAAGTCGAAGGATGCCCCCTCGATTGGGACACGGTCGTTGAACCTGACATCTCCTTTGCAGCTTACCGGATGGCTGCCGGTGTCGACAGGATTCAAGCTGACAGAGAAGATTCAATGAACTTTCTTCGCGAGTTGGCGCGAAGGCTTGAGGACGCGACAGCGCAAGCGCGCAAGCTCCAGCACCCAGAGGTTCGGCAGGTCAATCCTGAAGTTCACCTCGCATTGTTCGCGGTACTCACGGTGGCCTTATCTTGGCCTGATACTACCTTTTGCCAAGGTCTGATGGGTGGATTCCCGGCTGTCGGCCGAGTTGACCCATGTGGCATCTGGCAGTCGCGCCCTACAAGCCAGGTCACACTTGAGGACTGCCTGGCGGACGGGCGAGTTGACGCCCTCGAGATGCTCAACCACCTCAAGCCTGGAGCTGACGCCGCGGTGGCGTGTGAAGCCGGAGACGAGGACGAGTCCCTCGGGTTCTGTCGGCCCAGCATGGGCTGGGAAGAGCTCCAGGGCTTCCACCGCTCCTTCCGCCTTATTCGCCGTTTCGTCATTACGCAGTCGTCTGGCAAGAAAAGATGTATCGACGACGCGCAGCAAGGTAAGCAAAGTGAGTTCAGTTCTGACGGTAATCGGTTGCAGTTCTGCAGTGCCTTGCAACCATGCTTTCATGTCCAGGCATTGGCCAAGGAGTTGGCGAAACGAGGAGTTGACCTCGAGTCCTTCTTGTTCAAGCTCGCCACCTTTGGTGAAGACCTGCCTTATGAGGCCTTATGCATACCGCAAGATTGCGATGATTCCCGCCCACACTTGGGCCTGCATAGTTGCTTTCTTCGATCCTCATCGCGATCAACCCAGGTTCCGCAGATACCTGGGTATGTTGTTCGGCCTTCCATTGGCCGTCTCGGCTTTTAATCGCCTCCCGTTCTTTCTTCAAACGGCGGCACGGCGATTGCTGTTTCTTCTTATTTCCTGCTACTTCGACGACGCCACGTGCCAGGATTTCGCATCGCTGGCCCCCCGCAGTCAAGAACTGGTGGAGGAAATGTTCCGTCTTTTCGGCTACCCTTTCGCCGAAGCCAAGCGCCAGACTCCCCAGGCAAGCGGAGATTTCCTCGGCCTCCTCCACGATCTTTCTGAAATCCAGCGGTCCGGCACCATTACAGTTTGGGTGCGCCAGCGGCTCGTGGATAAAATCTCCGACATCATCGCCTCAGCGCGCAACACCCATGTCCTGCGCTCTGGCACAGCAGCGAAGCTTTTCGGGTGTTTGGGATTCCTTGATTACGGCGCGTTTGGCCGTGTTGCCAGGGCAGGTTTGAACCCCATCAAGGAGCGACAGTACTGCAAGACTGAGTCCTCCCTCACCCCAGAGCTCCTCCGGTCTTTCGATATTATCGAGGCCATCATAGCCATGAAGCCCAGCCGAGTCGTTCCCGTGTTTCCGGGCCGGGGTAGCCGGATTATTGCTGCGAGCGACGCAGCTCAAGACGGTTACAGGGTTGGCTCAGGAGGACTCTTAGTGGTTTCGCCCCAGGGTCTACGAGTTGGTACTGTACCCCGCATCAGCGACGAAGTGTTCGGTCTCTGGGACGAGTGCGAGACTAAAATCGCGCAGCTCGAGTTGTTGATGGTTTTCCAAGGTTTACTGTGCTTCGCTGCCCTATTCCGCAATACCACTGGCGTGTGGTTTGTGGATAATGTGGCGTCGCTCATGGCATTGGTCAGAGGGCGCAGTGATTCCAAGGAATTGGACACCATCGCACATAGCGTGCATCTGCTGCTGTTCCATTTGAAGGCTAACATTTGGTTCGAGTGGGTCCCATCGAAATCCAACTGGGCCGATGCCATTTCTCGTGAAGGCCATAGGGACCCCTGGCACCGAAGACGAGGATTCTCGGCGTACACCAGCGACATCCCTTGCATCCTCTGGCAGCTGCCTTTCTCTGTCAAGTCGCTTGTCCTCGCCTTTCTGGCAGGATGATAGTGCATTGGGTGTAGTGCTTTGGGATACGTTGGACGGGTTCGTCCCTGAGATATCGGCAGATGCCGATCCGATCAGAGGCAGACCTCGAGTCGAGGATTCCAATGCACTATGGGCCTCGCCCATGAAATGAAAAAGGTTCCGAGTGCTCTGCAGAGAATGTTGTCCAACTTAGTGCTTCGGGCAGGCTTGGTGAGTTGAAATCATTATCTGAGTGCATTTTGGATTGTGCTGCACATGTTGTCGCTTGAGCATACATGTGCATCCGCCGCCGTTTCCTCTCAAGCCAAAATAGCCAACAGAACACTGGATCACCTGAGTCGCAGGAGTTTCCTTTTTCATCCCACCCTACCCTCCCTAAATACAGGGCTCAGCCCTCCCTAGAAATTATCTGCACCAGAGGAGCGCGTTCGCCGACGCCCATGAAATGAAAAAGGTTCCGAGTGCTCTGCAGAGAATGATTTTGTAGCTTGCAATTTCTGCTGCATTGTCTAAGTTTCCGGGTAGTGTCATCATCTTCCTTCTCCTCCTCGTCCTTCGCCTCCTCCTCATCCTCCTCCCCGTCCACGTCCTAACCCAAATAATGTGGCTCATAGGGACCTATATATTAATCCTATATAGATCCATATAGATCCATATTGTAGCCCTATAGATCCATATCGTAACCCTATATATATATATATATATATATAGATAGATAGATAGATAGATGTATAGATAGATAGATAGATAGGTAGATAGAAATATATATAGATAGATCCCTAAAGTAACCCTATATAGATGCATACAGTAACCCTGTACAGTTGTTGTTTGTAATAACTGGACGGCATCGTTCCCCTGTTGCACATCTCTGTGCCTCTTTACCATTCCCAGGCTTCGGATTCAGCGTAAAGCAAGTCTCAGCGGTCGTTGTTCACGTTTGGTATCATTCTAAGTCTCCATAGTTCATACCAGCAACTATTACGAACAATGTTTTGATTGTTGGTATCCTTTTGACCATGCTAATCTTCAGTCTTAGGGTGACCAGCGCAGAGTTCCCTGGAGGCCGATTTCTCGCTCCTGACGAGGGTTTGGTGCTTGGCGGAGCTTGTGGAAGCGCATGAGCTCCACCTGCCACAGGCATTCGGAAGCAGCTGATTTTTTGGTGCGCTTGTGAGTCCTAGGTTCTAGTTGATTGTGGAATCAAGTTTTGGTGCCATGCGTTAGGGTTCAGGCAGTGCTCCAGCTACGGTGCAAACCCTTGTAGTGACTGTCAAGCTGTGGATGCAGCACGGACAACCACTGGAGTGTTGGCCATGCTAGGCGATCAAGATTCACTCGGTGGCGGCCAGGGACCTTTGTTTGGAAAGGCTTGCGCGACTGGATGTCAGGGATGCTGAAGCTTCATTCCCCGCAGACAAGGAGCCTGGATCCTCAATTTATCCTGCTGTTCAAACCCTAAACCCTGAACCCAAATCCCTAAACTTTAGACCCTAAACCCACTGGACCCTGAACCCTCAACCCTAAACTCAAGGCATGGGCCGCCCACCTACCACGAATTTGGTGGCGCTTAAGCCCCTCCAGATCAATCGCAAAGGCTGACCTGTACGTGAGCCAGCCCTGCCCTGGCTCCTGCCCCTGCCTTTGACCCTGCCCCGCCCTGCTTGCCCTTGCCCGCCCTTGCCCCTCCCCTTGCTCCTGCCTTGCCCCTGTGCTCCCTCCGCTGCCCTCCCCTCTTCCCTGCCCTGCCCTGCAAGTATTTGACTGGCGATCTGAGAAGAAAGAAAGCGCTGGCATGAGTTTGGGGTCTAAACCTGGAAAGGTAGGTCTGGGTGGTTTGGCCGCCTTTTGTGGAATGGGTGGGGGAGCATGAGGGAAAAGCCTTCTATAAACAGGCGTTGACAGCTCGTCGCACTCGACACAGCCTTTTTTCAAGATACTACGCGCTATTCTACGGCAAACCCTAAACCCGAAACCTTAAGCCTTAAACCCTAAGCCCTAAGCCTTAAACCTTAAACCCCTAAACCATCTGCGAAGCTTCGTTCACGTCATGTTGGTGCACCAGGAGCTTGTCCTCGGCAAAATCAGCGATCCCGACGGTTTCAACATGGGACTGCAGGACCCTTTTCTGGATTCTTGTTAACGGAGGCAATTTAAGTTACCATAGTATAGGGTTCCTTTTTTAGGGTTCCTTTAAGGGTTCTTGTAGGGTTTAGGGGTTAACGGGTTTAGTTTAAGCTACCATAATAAGGAACCCATATTACTCCTGATAGATCCCTATGATGGAAACCCTATGATGGAAACCAAAATTACGTTCCTTAACAAGAGCCCAGCTTGTTGCCCAGCAAGGTCAGGGGTGTGCATGCTTTGAGTTTGGAGTCTTCTAGCCCTTAACCCAAAACCCTAAACCACGTTGAGGACCTCGTGTTGCATCGCTTGGATTCCTTCCTACAGGGCAACCGAGCACGCTCTGCTGCAGCGCTGCTGGATGAAGTCGTCCTGGCTGCGCTCAGTGTGGCCATCTGACCATGCTCTGTATGCTTTAGGATGGCCAACTCGCTACATTGCTGCGGGTTCATCCCTTTGCAATCATTTTTGAGAGCAGTGTTGCGCATACAGAGGCACGAATACGTAATTTCGCTGCCCAGGAGCATCACTCGGATTCTGGTCAGTTTGGTTTTCCTAAGTGGCCATGCTTTTGCTAGTGTACTCAGATGGTGTATTTGGCATGCTGTGTAATTGAACTCTTGCAAGAAAGGTGTTTCGTACCGACTAACTCATTCAAAAAGGTTTCACAACGGCAGGCGAAGTGGCACCTCCACTCAGTGTCTTTCGTGTTTGGGCCTGCGTCAGAAGCCATCTTGGCACCGTTCAGCTTGTCCAAGAGAATGTGGAAAGGTGTCATTTGGCAGTGTGCAAGTCTGATACCGGCATGATTTTGTCCAAAGCTCTGGCTTTTTTTCTTTTTTCGGTCCTTTCGGGCTCTTGTCGAAGGCAACCCTGCATAACAACTCCGTGATGACAGAGGCACGAGTATGAAATTCGTTGCCGAGGAGCATCACTCGGATTCTGGACGGTTTTGTTTGCTTAAGTGGCCATACTTCTGCTAGTGTATTCAGATGGTGTATTTGGCATGCTTGCGAGAGTGGTGCTTCTTCCCGACTAACTCACTCAAAAAGTTTCTGCTTAAAGAAGGTTTCACAACGGCACCTCCACTCAGTGTATTTCGTGTTCGGGCCTACCAGTCTGCGCGTTCGGATCCTCGTGCGCTGGCGTGTGGTCTTCATGACCTGATTCTTCCCAGAAGCTGGGGGGGGGGGGGGGTATTTCATTAAGTTCCAATAATAATCGAACATTTTGCGACTGAGCTCCAGGACTTGAGCACAAAAGCCAGCAGCTCGCATCTTGCACGAAGCCTCCGAACGGTCACCAACCACTTGCACATGCGCGGCTGCACTCACGACGCTGTGCATGTATCTGATCAGGCGGTGCATTTTGGCCCAGAGCAATCATCGAAGCTTCACGCACATCCTGGCTCCATGCAGTTGCAGAACACTTTAGACAGGGACACTCACCTACTTCGGTAGCTTCCAGCAACTGCCAGGAAGCCTAGGAACCCCAGGGTCGCGGGAAACGCCTTCAACTGTCCGTGCTGTTCGGACCAATGGCGTAGCAGTGCAAAGAACGTATCACGTTCAGGCCGATGCTGCGGTTTAGGGTTTAGGGTTTAAGGTTGAGGGTTTAGGGTTTAGGGTATTTTTGTTGGTGGAGTGGATGGAGGAAAACGGGTGCTGAGATGAAACCATGCGAAGCTGAAGTGCACTTGATAGACCGACGCCACTTCCATTCATGTTGATCTTGTTTCAGAGTGGCCGCATGCAAGCCACCAGCAACAGCTGTAGGAATGAAGCGAGACAATCCCAGCTCGGTATCACATTAACATTAGTCAATGCAAAGCGGATTGCAGCTACAGCTACTTCCGCACAAAGCCGATGCGAACGGAAGCCACACGCAGGTGCACTGTCTGCTGAATAATCAATAATGTCAATAATGGTATCTCGAACGTAGTCATAGTTGTAATATAATATACTCAATTATGAACGCCCTATGTATTACGGCAGTGCTGCAAACTCGCTCTGTTCAGCTATGCGGCTTGGAGCTGTCGGCTGGTGGCATGTGGAAAAGCTAGGGGTATCGCTCAGAGTTTAGGGTTCAAGGTTTCATCATCTTGGGCACCGCTGACAATGACAGCAGTAGAAGGTGAGATGCTTCAGAATCTAGGGGATCCCCGTTTCACTGTATCCCTTAAGCTACAGTAGGTCAACAATGACAATAAAAAGACCCCTTCATTATCAGGGATGCTGGAATCTGGGGGAAAAAAACTCTTAAACCCTAAACGCTCTTCCTTTTACCATGGCGCGCACGCAGCTTGCCACCCGGCTGGCCGCAGGGGTCTCAGATTTTGTCTGCAGAAGGACTCCTTCAGGAGCCCCCACGACAGAGTAGTAGGGTTTGCGTAGGGGGGGGGGGCATTTTTTTTCAAGGGTTTAGGGGTTCACTGTTTAGGGTTTTGAAGAGATTTTAGATTATACGGTTGTGGTTTCCAGGCATGGGAAAGGAGCACGCCCTAGAATGTGGACGGCCTCGTCAGCAGAATTTCGGTTGGGAGCAGCCCTAGCACCCCCAAAAAGGTTACCCAGAGAGCGCAATACCCTTTAATTAAGGAATATAGCTTATATCATAATATGAATCCCCTTATATAATTTAAGGTATATCTAACTAAGGGCTATTGGGCTCTCTGGGTACTTAGGCCCCACACCCGATACCTCATTCACACACCGCAAGGTCTTGGCCACATGCCTTCTCTGGGCAAAGCCGACACCATCACAGACTTTTGCGATCGGGTCGACTGGAGCCCCTTCCATGTTTGCCCTTGACTGTCTGGTTCTTAGTAGGGAATGGGGGAATGGGTTATAAGGACCATTATTGGGGATATACAGGGACTACAGTATTACAGGGATGCATCCCCCCATTCCCTACTAAGAACCAGAGAGTTGACTGCCAGTTGCAAGGGAATGTCGCCGGTCTGGTTTTTCCAAGCCTGCAAGAGAGTCCGAGTTCCAAAAACCATAGGCCCTACACCCTGAAGCTTAAGCAAACCAAAACCCTGAACCGTAAAGTCTGTTTGCTGCATTGCCATTGACAGGTTCAGGCCAGGCGCCGTTGACGCGTCGCCACTCATCGCAATGAGGTATCCGCAAAAGCCCTAAACCCCAAACCCGAAAAATCCCGTTAAAGGAGCCCTTGAAAGCAACCCGAAACCCTTAAACCCTGAGCTTTGACTCAGGTGAATCCGTGATCTTGGGCTCCTGGAGTGCTTGGCTCGCACTTGCGCCCTCTGCCTGCGCGGGCACGAAGGACAGGATGGGTAGGGTTTGCGGGTTTAGGGCCTTTCTATAGGGGATCCTTAAAGGGTTCTATAAGGGATCTATATCGGGGTTTTGGGGTTTGGCTTAAGGGTTTAGGGGTATGGGGTTTAGGGTTTAGGGGTACAGGGCTTTAGGGGTTTAGGGTTTAAAGGTTCGGGGGTTTAGCACGTATTTAAGGTCTGGGGCTAAGGGTTTAAGGGGGATCTGAAAAGTTTGTAGCTCAGCTTTAAGGGTTTCCGTTAAGCGTTCTATACAAGATCGACAGTTTGGGGCTGAATAAGGGGCTTACTTGAAGGCTCATGGGACTTAGTAAGTAAGGATATAAGTAGGTTATAATTAGGATAACCCCACTTAGGGGACTTATAACCCCAATTATAACCTACTTACTAAGTCCCATGATCCTCTAAGTAGACCCTAGACCCTAAACCCCATAGATCCCTTTAAGGAAACCCTATAGATCCCTTTAAGGAGCCCTTACTAAGTCCCATGATCCTCTAAGTAGGGCCAAGGGCAACCATTTCAAGGCCGAAGCCCCAAGGTTTCATGAGCTCGGAAGCCGGCCTCGGGGCCCTGAGCCCAAGGGCTTCGGAGATCTGAAACCAAAGCCTAAACCGCCTAAACCCCTTTAAGGGGTTTAGGGTTTCGGGCTTCTGAACCTTGGAGCTCTATTCTTGGAGTTTAGGAGTGACGACAGGTTACGGAAAGGATCATGGGACTTAATAACTATACGCTTATAAATAGGGTAACTATACTTGTAATTACGTATAACCCCAATTAGGGTACTTATAACCTTACTTACTAAGTCCCCTGATCCTCCTCTGGCGGGGAGTGGCGTGTCTGGCTTAGAACGAAACCGCTCAAGACCTCTGCGGTACTGGCAGCAAGCCGAAACCGAAACCCTAAATCCTGCTCCCCGCCCGAAACCCTAAACCCTGAACCTTAAACACTACACCCTACACCCTAAACCCTAAACCGTACACTGTAAGCCCTAAACCCAAAACCCTGAACCTCAACCTTAAGCCTTAAACCCTGAACCTCAACCTTAAATCCTAAACCCTGAACTCGGAACCCTAAACCCTGAACCCCAAAAACCCTCAACCCTACTGCGCCTCCTTGTGTCCAAGGGGAACAGGAGGGACCCTTAACAAGGACCCCTAGGTAATATACCCTTAATATAGCCATTAGATACCCATTATAGGGTAGCCTTTTCCCCTTTGATTGTGAGCTGAGCTACAGGTGGACCTAACGCTGCCTGTCACGAAGGAGAGGATCCCAGAGGCCCCAAGTTTGTCCTTGTCATAGTAGCCTACCCAGAGGCCCCAAAGTAGTTCCTTTTTGGGATTACCTTATAGGATTCTATATACTGTCATAGTTGGGTAACACTTTACATCTTTATGGGTACTTAAACCCATAAGGAATACAAATGTACATTTTGAATCCTATTCCAACAATGAACTAGTTTTGGGAGCTCAGGTCGGATGCTAGGAATTTAGGATTCAAGGTTTTGGAGTTTAGGCCTTGCGGTTTCGGGTTTAAAGGTCTAGAGTCTAGAGTCCAAGGTTTTAGGGTCCAGGGTGATTGAGTAACTCCATCTGTGCTCTTTTCAAGTCCGGGGTGTCGTTGCATGTCAAAATTCGAAACCCTATAAAGGCCTCCTATGTTTCTCTTCCTTCGTCGGTTGCTTGAGAACACTGGTGCTGTGACAGCCTCTACTGGCACAGAAATTCACGGTTCTGGAGTCCGGCAAGCGTGTCTCCCGTCCCAGCACCAGAAGAAATTTCGGTACAGATGGTCACCTAAACTCCGAACCCTATACCCTAAGCCCTTCACCCTTGAACCCTTGACGCCAAGCCGTTTGAGAACTCCGAACCCCAAACCCCTTGAGACCCTGAAACTTAAACCCTAAACCACTAGACTGACAGGTGAAGAAAGCTCTGTTGCAGCTGGCAGACTCTTGGATTCCCCCCAACCATCGGGTCCTCGGTGGGTTTCAGGAGGGTGAATTTAAGAGAACATGTTAAGGGATACTATATAGCATGGTTCATGCTGGGTTGACGCTTTTGCTTCGGAGCTTTTCTGGTTTAGCTTTTGTGGTTTCGCACTTGGGGTTTCCAGGTTGGGTTTAGGGTCCGTGTATGCTGCGGTCTGAGTTTTCAGTGATTCATGGCGGCAAGCTGTTATAAAACATGATACCAGTTGCCATTCTGCATGTCACACTGCTTTGACGATTGATCCCCAAAAGTTCCATAGACTTCGAAGTCACTATACACCGTGTTTGACGTTTGTTGGGCGTCGGTGTTTGCAGCAGATCCTCAAAATATCGAAAACACAGCAACCCTAAACCCTAAACCCTAAACCCTAAACCCTAAAACCCTAAAACCCTAAACCCTAAAACCCTAAACCCTAAACCCCTAAACCCCTAAATCCCTAAACCCTAAAACCCCTGTGCAGTGCCCGCTTTGGGTCTGAGGAGCCGGGCCCGGCTGTGCTTCTCCACAGTTTGAAGAGCAGTACATAGACTAATCAGACTAGGGTTGTTGAGGGGTTTAGGGTTTTAGGGTTTTAGGGTTTTAGGGTTTAGGGTTTAGGGGTTTAGGGGTTTAGGGTTTAGGGTTTTAGGGTTTTAGGGTTTAGGGTTTAGGGTTTTAGGGTTTTAGGGTTTAGGGGTTTAGGGTTTAGGGTTTAGGGGTTTAGGGTTTAGGGGTTTAGGGTATAGGGTTTCAAGGGGTGGAAGCCAGAAGATTACAAGCATGTTCATCCTTCGGTGTCTTGTGACAGCCCCGTCCCCTCCTTAGCGAAAAACCGACGCTGCCCGCGTACACCTTGGTTTAGGCTTCCGGGTTTGAAAGGTTTAGGGTTTAGGGTTTTGGCCCTGTAATTTTATCAGATTGATGTAGATCTTTCCGCCTTGCTCCGGTCCCTTTAGTGACAGGTTACCGTCTTTGCTCAGTGTCGTAGATGCCCCACTTGAAGGCTCATGGGACTTAGTAAGTAAGGATATAAGTAGGTTATAATTAGGATAACCCCACTTAGGGGACTTATAACCCCAATTATAACCTACTTACTACGTCCCATGATCCTCTAAGCAGGGTCCGAGAAATCTGAATTTTTTCAGCCCAGGTCCTGGCATTTCAAAGCCCCACCCCAAAGTTAAACCCTGAACCCCCAAAGCCTACTTGGAGGGTCAGGGGACTTAGTAAGTCGTTCTTTTAAAGTAGGGTTATAATTGGGGTAACTCCATTTAGGGTACGTATGGCTCTACTTATAACCTACTTACTACGTCCCCTGCCCCTCCAAGTAAACCCTAAACCCTAAACCCCAAAGATCCCTTTAAGGAACCCTATAGATCCCTTGAAGGAGCCCTTTAAGAACCCTTCCTATGTGTGCCTTATGTTTCCGAGGACGAGACTGGACGAGGAACGACTGCCACGCCAGAGCAGAAGCGGCTCGAGCCCCGGGTGTGGTTTACTTGGAGGATCATGGGACTTAGTAAGTAGGTTATAATTGGGGTTATAAGTCCCCTAAGTGGGGTTATCCTAATTATAACCTACTTATATCCTTACTTACTAAGTCCCATGAGCCTTCGAGTAGGGTTTGAGGTGTCAGGCGTAACGTTTTAGGGCTTGGGGTTTCAGGCTTGAAGGGTTTAAGGCTTTAGGTGCTTCGGCTTTAGGGTTTAAGGCTTACGGTTTAGGGTTTAGGGTTTAGGGTTTAGGGTTTAGGGTTTAGGGTTTAGGGTTTGGGGTTGAGAGGGGTTTAGGCCTTACTGCGGGGCTTGACGCGGTTATTGATGCGTTTTTCCATGAGTTTTAGAGGGTCCCTAGTTTCTTAAGGGCCTCATACGGTTTGCTGCACGAAACTTACGGGTATTAGTACCATTAAAGCAAGTAAGGAAGCGTAGGAACCTTGAAAAGCAATCCTTATAGGAATCCTAAAGGAATCCTAAAAAGTACGTCTCAGGAACCTTGATGTAAGGATCCCTAGAAAGCTTGAAAGGAGCATTTAAAACGAGCTCAGGTCCATGGATAGCTTTGCCTTGGCTTTAGCCTCGGCAGAGCCCTCGCGTCCTGCTTCGCCTGACATGCTTTCAGGCCGTGATATCGGAAGGGAGCCCCTAGACCCTGAACCCTATAACCCTAAGCACTAAACCCTATAAGCCTAAGCCCTAAACCCTATAACCCTAAGCACTAAACCCTATAACCCTAAGCCCTAAACCCTATAACCCTAAGCCCTAAACCCTATAACCCTAAGCCCTAAACCCTGTAAGCCTAAGCCCTAAACCCTGTAAGCCTAAGCCCTAAACCCTGTAAGCCTAAGCCCTGAACCCTGTAAGCCTAAGCCCTAAACCCTGTAAGCCTAAGCCCTAAACCCTGTAAGCCTAAGCCCTGAACCCTGTAAGCCTAAGCCCTAAACCCTGTAAGCCTAAGCCCTAAACCCTGTAAGCCTAAGCCCTAAACCCTATAAGCCTAAGCCCTAAACCCTGTAAGCCTAAGCCCTAAACCCTGTAAGCCTAAGCCCTAAACCCTGTAAGCCTAAGCCCTAAACCCTGTAAGCCTAAGCCCTAAACCCTATAACCCTAAGCCCTAAACCCTCAACCCCAGGGTTCGTGGGCCTGAGAGGTTTCGGCTTCAGGATCTTTCGCTTCCGGGCTTCCGGGTTCCATGCAAATCATGTCCTACGGTTCCTTTCTAGGGATCCGTAAGGGGTACCTTTAAGGGGCTCCTGTAAGGGATCTAGAGGGTTTAGGGTGCTTCGGTTGATGATATAAATCCTGCATTACCTTGAGGACCCTATGGGAATTATGGTATATTCCTTATTACCGGTAATGCAGGATTTATACCGTATTATAGGGCTTTGGGTTCCAGTGCAGCTTGAAGGTTCAGGCTTGAAGTTCAGGGGGCGGGGGGCATCAGCTATGCCCGGTACGAAGTCACCATTGTCTCGATGCCCTGGGCTCAGGGCCAAGTTCAGTCGTGGCTTTCTTGGAGTTCGGCAGAAGATCGTGAGGATCTCCTACTCATAGCCCAGCACTTTACGCATGTAAACGGCCGCTGCAGTTGTGATTACTACCATATAGCTACCATATAATATAACTACCATTATAACTACTACTACTACTACTACTACTACTACTACTACTACTACCACCACCATTCTTCCATTCCCTACTAACCAAAGGGAAACATTATGCACCCGATGGCCTGGGCCTCAAAAAGGGCCTGAGTAGGAGATTACTGTATTGCTGGGGTTCTTGAATTTACGTATCGCAGAATATATCCCAAGACCGTGTCTAGTTTTGAAGGGCCCCCTATCTTGAATCCTTTCAGTAATTTTTGTGGGCACCCTCACAGGAACCCTGCTTCAATTTGCAAAGGTCCCTGCACAAAAACCTGCAGCGTTAAAGAACCCCAAACCGTAAACCCTACTTAAAGGATCATGGGACTTAGTAACTAGGGTTATAAATAAGGTAACTAGACTTATAATTACTTATAACCCCAATTAGGGGACTTATAACCTTGCTTACTAAGTCCCCTGATCCTTGAAGTACCCACCAAGCCCTGATGCTTTGCAGGCACTTGGAACCTGGTCTACACCACTGAGAAAGAGGTGCTCTCCTTGATCGGTGATCCAGGCGAGATCCTGGCGTTCAGGGTTTAGGATTTAGGGTTCAGGGTGAAGAGCTAACGCAATGGAGAGCTCCTTCAGGTGGGCTGGAGGTTCTGCTTCTGTCAGGGCAGGTGCAGCTTTTCGCCTTCCGGACCGCTGGCGATACTATATTATATATATATATATATGTATGTACATGTATGTATAGGTATATATGTATATATGTATATACGTATATATGTATATATGTATATATGTATATATGTATATCTGTGTGTAGACATATATATATATATATACATATGTATGTGTAGACACACACATATATATATATAGACTATAACATACATAGTTTGTGTATATATATATATATATATACACACATACATGCACATGCATAGGCATAGGTAGAATACAACACATAAGGCTCTCTTTCTTTCTTTCTTTCTTACGTTCTTTCTGCATGTATCGCCACAGGCGTCTCGGTCTACCAGAAGCTGGACTCTTCGGCTGGGACTCTGGGGAACAGCCGCGCGCTGAGACTTGGGGACCTCCGGGTTTGCCCTTGCAACTCAAGTTTTAACATATCACATTATGTTAAATTAGACTACATAATATTAGAACATAACGTTCCGCCACATTACGTTATAGGGTTATTTTTAGAAGACGGTGTACTACAGTGTAAAGATATCGCGGGCTGCACACTTGTTCTGGCTATGTAACTACAGCAAAGCTTATGACGGACACTGGCATGGGCTCGAAAGCATGAAAGCAGCGCAAAGCCTAAAGCCCTACTTGGAGGATCAGGGGACTTAGTAAGTAAGGTTATAAGTACCCTAATTGGGGTAAGTAATTGTAAGTATAGTTGCCTTACTTATAACCCAAATTACTAAGTAGGTTGCCTAAAGCCCTAAGCCCAGAACCCAGGCATCGTCTTCACGGACGGAAAGCGTTTCGATGTTTCCGGCACGGTGTCCTCTGGCAAGCAGCCGGAAGCAGCTGCGGATGTCCGCCTGCCACGGTTGCTTAACGGGTGCTGGTTCTGTTTTGGGCGAGTGAGCTTGGCCTGGAATCATCATTGTTCTTACCGGCAGTTTTTTTGCCGGTACGCTAGGTGTTGTCACTATCAGTTTGACAGCCGGATTGCAAGTACATGTGTTGAGCGCAAGAGGGGCCAAGCCCCGTGTGCCCGAGCGGGCAAGCATCTGAATTCCATGTGATGCTTGCCACACCAACAGCCTTTGTGCGCCAAGTGCACGACCTCAAGCCCAACCGTAAACCCTGTAATATAGGGGCTTTAAAGAATACGTATACTGACACCCAAACCCTATTCTAATTATGAAGGCCCCTATATTGCCCCAAACCCCTGGCCCTAGTCCCACGCCCTAAGAAAGGCTTAAACCTTCCTGCAACCTCGAGCCCTGCAAAGCTGCTACTTCAACGTGCGGGTATAGGTTTAACGGTTACCCGGCTCCCCCCCAAGCCATTTCTGCAACAGCCGCATGGCTCGAACCCGTAATGAAAACACCTAAAACCACAAGACCTTCACCCCAAAACTAAACATACAATCCTCAACGCTTAAATCCTTAAGCCCTGCACTCTAAACACACCAAGCCCGAAGTACCCCAAGCCACCACACCCCATCAGCCCTTTCTACCAAACCCAACCCTGAACCCCAAACCCTAAGCCCTAAACCTCAAAGCATTTTTGCAAAACCTCAAACCCTAAACCCTAAATGCTAAGCCCTAAGTCCTAAACCACCAAACCCCAAACCCTTTCTACAAAACCTCTCCAGGGGTACCCAGCCGGGCTTCGAAGCTCCTTTCGCTTTGTGGGAGCTGCTCTGACGGTGATCCTGGGCAAGGGCTCAGGAGTTCAGACATGGGGGGTGGTTTAGGGTTTAGGGGTTTAGGGTTTAGGGGTTTAGGGTCTAGGGTTTAGGGGTTTGGGGTGTAGGGCGTCTCGCCGCACAGCGGCAGTATTTTCTATGTAGAATGGCGCCCCAGCACTCCCAGGGGTGTGGGGGGGCGGCATATTTACGTCTAGCGGTCGAATGCGATTCCACCAAACAATTACACATTGGTTCCTAACCTTTTCCCGCCCGCTGTGAGAGTACACAGGCTACCACCCAAAATATTGCCAAAAAGGTTTACGCCCTCAATTCCCACCTGCCCCTGGTCTGTCTGCTGAGGCCAGGGCGGGCCAGTGGGGGGCCAGCGGGGGCCAGGGGTTGGGAGGGGCCAGTAGGGCTCAGGGGGGAGGAGGGCCCTCAACCCCGAGTCCCTGGAAGCCAGCTGGGGGGCCCCCTGGGCCGGTCTCTGGGGCTTTTTCTGAAGGGAGCCAAATTAAATGGGTCGTCGGGTTTGGGGTCTTCTAATCTCTTCAGATTCGAGGGAATTCCCTCTGCGAATATGGGCGCCACGCAAGGGGCCTAATGGCTTGGCTCAGCCCTAGGGGCTGAATTCGACAATTCTCCAATAAATGGCTCCACTCATTGTCCATCCAGAGTTGGTGTCAATCACTGCCGGATTTCCTTCTGGGTCCAGGCACCCTAAGAAAAAGGGTGGGTACGGCCTAAGCAGGCCTGGGTGGGAATTTAGGGTTTAGGGTTTAGGAGTTTAGGGTGTAGGGTTTAGGGTTTGGGGTGGTCTAGGATTTTATAGTGGTTTCTGTCAAGGGTTTCGGTTTGGGGTTTCGGTTTCGGTTCAGGGTGGTCTTCGCTTGACGGTTGATGGAGCCCCTGACTTTCTCTGATGTCGTGTCACCTCTGCTTGTTTTGGTACGTTCTGCTTTCGGGTTTCGGGTTTTGTGGTTGCGTTCGCTTGGGTTGTTGCAATCCCACCTGCTGTCTTCCATCGTGCTCGTGCCGTCTTCATCCTGCCTTCTGCGTAGTATTCCGATGGCTCGTCCGTGACTTTTGTGACAATGGTTAGTGTGGGATTTTCATCATGCTATCTAGAGCTGAGACAGTGCCCATGTTTCAGTGTCATTGCTGTTGTTGATTGATGCGTCTTTGCATGGCGGAGGGACTGGCAGCTACCATACTCAATAACTGGTATCCTGTTTTCCCTCGCATAATTACACAACTATCCAAAACCTCAAGTCCGAAACCCCAAGTCCTAGACGTCGGGACGAAGCTGCCCCAAATAGTTATGGACACCCCATTGCAAGGCTGAGTGCGAAGTTAGGGTTTTTCCTGACTGTAATCCGAAGCGCTGGCGCCGTACTGCCCTGAATGTGAGGTGCTACTATATGGGGCCTTAATAATTACATATACTATCTTAGTTATAGTTTTTGTATAGTGGGCCCCCAAACCCTAGTCTAATTCTTAAGGCCTCTATCTTACACCCCGAGCCCTGAAGCCCCCGAAGCTCGAGCCGAAGCATCGTAGTCCTCCTCTTGCAAGGGCTTTTCGGTCCCCGAAAGCCCAAAACCGTCGCTGTAAATCCTTGAGACTTCGAACCCCAAAGGCTTTCCCTAAAAGGGTTTAGGGGTTTAGGGGTTTGAGGGTCTTAGGGCTTTAGGGTTTAGGGCTGTGGTCTTATCTTGGGGCTTCCGGATTGTTTTTGAATTTCGAGTCGGTTTTTCAGACGATGGAGGTCGCTTTTGGGCTTTGGGATTCTTGTTTGTGAAACTTTTTCTTTTTGTGGCCTTGGTTTTGGGTTTTGGAGGCTTTTTGGCCGTTGTTTCTATTGGGTTTCAGGGTTTGGGTCTGTAGGATTCTGGACTGAACCCCAAACCATAAAACCCTAAACCCTAAATCCGGTTTCGGTGTTGTTTGTTTTTGTTTCGTGGCTTTAGCGTTCAGACTTCGGTGAGGGCCTTGACCGCCCGTGCCACCGGCTAAGTTCTGGAGCCCAAAAGCAGAACCTCCTGAATCCAAAGACGGAAGGCTTAGAGATTTGGGAGTTTCAAAAAATTAGGGGTTCCTCATTTTGGGGCCCCTATAATAAGATTATATTAGGGTCCCCTATTTTCGGAAGCTCCCATTTCGGGCTTGGGGTTTAGGGCTAAGCAGGGTGGAGACAAGAGGGCCTGCAGAATTTCGGATGTATTGGGGGGACAGACAGCCCTGAACTGCAAGAGCACAGCCCCAAGTCCGAACACCCTAAGCCCTAAACCCCTCAAGCTTGAAAAAAAAAACCCTCAAGCCTACTTGGAGGGGCAGGGGACTTAGTAAGTAGCTTGTAAGTAGAGTTCTAAGCACCCTAAATGGAGTTACCCCAAGTATAACGCTACTTAAAAACAGCTTACTAAGTCTCCAAGTAAACCCCTAAATCCCTAAACCCCAAAACCCCTGAACCCCCAAACTCGAAGCCCCGAAACCCCCAAAGCGACCCGAAAGGTGAACCCGAGTATCACGGTGCCCTTGCCGCCCTTCGGCCAGGGCCCCAGATGTTGGGGCTTTAGGGCTTAGGGCTTAGGGTTTGGGGTTTGGGGCTTAGGGTTTAGAGTGTAGGGTTTGGGGTATAGAGGAATTCGAAAACTGCACCGCCTCAAGGGCCGATGCACTGCAAGTAAGCCCATAAGCCTGAAACGCGCTAACTCAGCGATGCAAGAATCGAGACTTCGACTGCCTGTTTGTTTTGCTGTCCGGTTCTGATGACGACAGCAAAAAGCTGGGTAGCACCCGTTGCACCGTATTATAATATCAATGACAAAGCTGGCACTGCTGCAGCCAATGATCTCTAAAGAGATTACTACGAATGGTGTGATTATCGTCACGATCAGTCTGGGTTTGGTAGTGCGTGCAGCGATGACACTCGTACTCCCGTGTCTACTGTCGAGATGCAGCATCTAGTTGAGATGCTGTTGATGCGCGGCACTGCTGATTCTGCCGTTGTTTTGGAAGGTGTTGGTGTTGAAGGCAGCCTGGATACTCAGCGGATACTCGTTGTTGTTTGCACGGTTCATGGACGATATGATGACAACCTCCAAACGCCACCTCGTAATTATCACCGGTGCCAGCGCAAAGCCCACAGCTGTCAACGGCGGAGGTGCTGGCTGGTTTGCGGCAGCCTCAGTCGTTCTGGCGGGACATCCGAGGTCCAAGTTGTCGGAGGGGCACGAGAAGTATGAGCAAGCTTTGCAGTTATAGTCACTTTGTTGATAATCCTAGTTCATAAGTGAAATGATCCTTCAGCAGAAATTTTCCGTTTGTCTTCTGTCAGAACTAGTCTTGGCAAACCCTTACCGGTGCACTGCGCATTTTTTCGTTAGACTCTTTTGGAATCAGGCTTCCGAATTTGTCGAGCCGCCAGCATTCCCCAACCATTCTTGAGAGCTTTGCACTCCCCAACCATTCTTGGGAGCTTGGAACCCCCAACAACCCAAAGCTCTTGTGAAACGCATCCACCCCCAAACCCTAAACCGCCGTTGCACTGAAAAAGCTTCCAACCCTAAACCCCACAGCCTCATACCCAAAACCGCTAAACCTTAAACTCAAACCCGAAACCAGCTTTGACGGTTTAGGATTTAGGGCTTTTAGGCTTGTTTCAGGTCTCCGTCTACTTGGATGAGAACTTGCGAGTGAATCGTGACTCGCGTGGCGATCTCGCCATATACTTTCGCGCATAGACAGACAGAAAAATCCTACTACCTAAGCCTTAGAAGCTGCCTCCACCCTGTAATAGTGACTATAAGGATTATATTAGGGCCCTATTATATTCTGACTATACCACTATTACAGTTTCGGGGCCCCTTCTAACCTAAACCCCAAACCCTCAGACCTGAACTCGAAACTTTGAAACATGTAGTGTATGTCTACAACCGACTGGACCTAAACCCTAAACCCTAAACCCTAAACCCTAAACCCTAAACCCTAAACCCTAAACCCTAAACCCTCAACCCCAAATCAAGAGTCGAAGCCCCGAAGCCTCACTGGGCAGTACAGCAGGAAAGTATACAGGGTTTCGGGTTCAGGAAATTTTGGGGTTTAGGGTTTGGGGTTCACGGGGGTTTAGGGTTTAGGGTTAAGGGGCTCACTGTATCGAAAGACTCGCGTCGGGACGCTTGAGACTCTGCAAGCCCTAGATCTGGGTCTGGTCCGAAAAACACTACCAGCTTCATTTGGGTGGTTGTCAAAATTAGGATCCCTTTTTTGGGGTCCCTAATATAATACGGCACCGAGTATTAAGAGTACCCAAAAGGGAACGCTAATTCAGGAAAGGTTGGGACAAAAACTCGGGGCGCCCGGTTCCGGCAGCCCATTGAACTTGAAGAGCTCATACAGGGGCGTAAGGAAGACTTTCCACTACTATTTTTTGGGGGTTCCTTATTCTACTTGCAGTAATATACACAAAGCCCCATTCTAATGATAAAGGCCCCTACAGTACCCCTCAAGGTTTGGAACCCTAAACCCGAACCCTAAATCGGCAATTCAGATCCAAATCTCCATCCGACCTCGACCCAGAAGCCTAAACCCTAAACCCTTAAACCCTGAGCTTAAGGGTTTAGGGTTTAAGGTTTAGGGTTTAGGGTTGAGCTGGCAGCAGAAGCTACACCATCATTTTGGCGCAGTTTGCACCCTCCGCCCCAATACCCTTAACCCTAAGCCCAAGCTGATCGGTCCCTTTGCCACTCCGTCCGCAAAGATGGCTCCATCAGTTAACTGCTAGCGGACCCTCACCGCCTTTCATATTGCGGATTTTACGCAGCCGTCCATATAGTAGACTAGCCTTCCCCTCTTGCGCCTGGGCTGCAGCAAGTGCGCTAGTTTTCGAGAGGTTCATAGGGATGTGAAGGTTCAGGTTGGGTTACTCATAGGCTCCATAGTAGTTCATTTTGGAGATTAGCCTATAGGATTCTGAACTTAAAAAGGAACTACTATGTAGCCTCTAGGTAAGGGCTAAGGATTCGGGCTCCAAGGTTCATAAACCCGAAAAGTGCAAGAAAGAGCAGCTGCTCAAGGCATTCCCCTAAACGCTAGACCCTGAACCCTCTGGCTTTCTACCGTTTACTACGGGATCCTTTCCCCGAAGCTAAGTACCTCCTAAGCCACGAGCAGCCAATGTCCGGGGAATTTGGATCTTCATACTTGAAGGCTCATGGGACTTAGTAAGTAAGGTTATAAGTAGGTTATCATTAGGATAACCCCACTTAGGGGACTTATAACCCCAATTATAACCTACTTACTAAGTCCCATGATCCTCTAAGTAGGGTTTAGGGTTTAGGGAGCTTCATTGCTGTAGCGGGTCATGTTGCGGGGCTTGCGCTCTCAGGCTCAGCGCTTTGGGGCAACTCCGGGGTTTCGGATTTTGAGCCGCTGTCTTGGGAGTTCTTTGCCCAGGGACTACACCAACTGGCCAGACATGACGCCCAGCTGCACCTTCAGTACTTGGAGGATCAGGGGGACTTAGCAAGTAGGTCATAAGTACCTGCATTGGGGTCATAAGTAGTTCAAGCAGTTATAAGAATAGTTACCATATGTATAGCCCGAGTTACTTAGTCCCATTGGTGCCTTGCGACTGTCGGGTTGGGGGGGGTTAGAAGCCTTCCGGGAAACAGGGTTTGAGGTATCCCCAAACTCTTACCCCCCCCAAAACCCTAAACCCGTAACCCACAACCCAGCGTAAAACAAAGCCCTAAACCCTGAACCCTCAACCATATTCCTTGAATTGACCCGTAGTAGGGAGTCTTAACAGCAAGGGGCATCGGAGTCTTCGGGTGGTCCTCGGAGTGTTCAGTTCCTCAACACCATGCCCTGGGGATGCGTGCTTAGGTTTTGGGTTTTGGGGTTTAGGGTTTACTTGGAGGGCCAGGGATTTGGTAAGTCTTCCGAGAGGCAGGTAACTTCTGCTTTGCTTGCGTTTATAGGTAGGGTTATAATTGGGGTAAATCCATTTGAGATACTTACAACTCTACTTACTGTAGATTTTACCCTGCCTCCATTGCTATTTCTATGGTCCTTAGCTATATCTTTACCCGACGCGTACTCGGCCCAAGTCCCCACTGGAAAAAGGTCCACAGGGTTGACTGAACGGTATCTAGCCGTGCTAAGCTGTTAGCCTGAGAATCTTCAGGTTATCAGCCGTAGTTCGCTCCGTAATGGATATCGTGCCGTTCGCAGCGGCCACGGGCAACAACGTGGACGGTGGTATTGGTGGTAGACAGGAGCATGAAGCCAACCAGTACTTCTTGCATTTGTTGCAGGAGAACACCCAGGTGAATGTGTTCTTGAATGACCCCCGCATTCAAAGTGCCTTGGAGCTTCGCGCGGAACAGAGACACCGCTTCGCATTGGACAACGTGTACGCCGAAGCCAACGCATACATTGCACACCTAGAGGCAACTGCGGATGCGAATCATCGTCAACAGCTAGCATTTGTGAGCCAATCAACACACCTGTTGGTGGGGCAACTACACAACGAAGTTCGAGTGCTAGAGACAATCGCCCGAGCAGAACGACAATCAGCCAACGAGCTGCAGGCACAGCTGGCACGCACACAAAGGGAAAGTCATGATGAAAGGTGTATGGCTATGCAGTTTGATACACATCGATCCCAGCTGGAAGCAGCAGCACGCACGCTCACTGCGGAAAACAGACAGCATGAACGCCGTTTCGCGGAATTGCGCGCAAGTATCGAAGAAAACCACAGTGAGCTGATTGCCTTTTTAGGGTCTGAGTTTGAGGAAAAGCTTCAATGGGAAGAGAATGAATTCTACCATAGGCTAACCTCTGAGGCACAGCAGTACGATTCGATAGCTTGGTTGACGACCTGCAGGATCGGAATGCGGAGCTTATAGCTGAGGTCGACTCACTCAGGACTGTCTTGTCGACAGCGGAGAGTAGCCCACCGCAAGGTGGTGCCGTGCCGGTGAAAGTTGATCCCAGTGAGAGCTCCAAGCTTCAACCAAGCCCACCGCAAGGTGGTGCCGCAGCGCCGCTTGTTCAGGGTCCTAGTAATTCATGGATTCCGACCCTTCCGAACCCCAGGGAAATTCCTGCGTCGCTTCGGACGGTTTTGGGAAGGACCCAACGGTATGACATTGGTGAGCATGATGATTCCAAGGCCCCCGGCGTAGCGGTATCTACTGCTGAACAGAGTGACAACAAAGAACCGGCAGACACTATCGAAAACAAAGAGCCTAGCGTCCTTCTCGCTGAAGCACTCAAGTCGGTTATCCAGAAGCCTGATGACGACAAACCCAAGGCTAAGGAAGCTGAGACGGTGAAGCTACCCGACTTCCCCAACCCGGAGACTTACAGGAGTTGGAAGATCACGGTTAGGGAGGCTGTTCGGGCAGCATCGGACAGACCCGATGAGGCATTCAAATGGGTTCAAGAGGTTTACTCCAGGGACGCCGATTCGGAGAAGTTGAGGGACACGGGTAAATTCCTCACTTTGGACACAAAGATCCTTTCGGCGCTTTCGAGGGTCGCAAGAGGGGATCTTGGACGACAGATCATCAACTACAAAGAGTCTGAGGCAGCTGCAGGTAGGGCCGTTCGTGGTAGACAAGTTCTACTGATGTTCGAACACTACTTTAAGACCAAGGAAGAAGCAGGTTCCCTCTACTCTGTGGAAGATCTTCTCAAGGTACAGCTGAGCGGTGACGACCTTAGCACGTTCATTCACAATTGGGAGTCGGTCATCGCGGGGTTGAACCATCAACCCGAGGAGACTACATTGAGAGATATTCTACTTCGGCAGCTTCGCAACTCTAGCAAGCTCAAGTTTGATCTGGAAGTCTACGACAGGGCCAAGGAAGGAACAGAGCAGCGCACTTATGACTACTTGGTTAAATGCGTGAAAGAGCTGTTGGCTAGAGATAGGACTCGCAAGAACCGGACAGCAATCGCCAAAGCTCACGGCGCTAGGTTTGGTGCCCCTGCTCCTTCCGACACCCCGAACACCCCTCGCGGCAGAAGCCAGGACAAACCCTGCTACGCTTTCCAGCGTGGGAAATGCCCACGAGGTGACAAGTGCCCATACAAGCACGTGAAGCCTACTCCAGAACAGACCAGGGGCAGAACACCTCCCCGAACCCCTTCGAGAAAAGGCGGAGGTAAAGGCGGTAAAGGCGGGGATAAGAAGGATACTTCCAAGATTCCTTGCATCTTCTATCCCAAAGGCACCTGCAAGACCGGTAAGAATTGCCCATTCATGCACAAGGATGCCGCCCCCTCTGTCCCGGCCAAAGGCGATAAGGCTGGCAAGGACGGGAAGAGATCGCCCTCCGGCAAGCGCAGGCGACCCAGTAAGAAGAGGCCAAAGAGTGAGGATAAGCCAGCGGCATGCTGTCTCTCCCTCACAGCCACCCTCACGGGTGAGCCGTCGACTGATGCTGGGAAGGTCTACGCAGTAGCAGCCCGCAAGGGCCCTGCCGGAAAGCCCCGAACCAGCAAGGTCCAGTTCCTAAGACCAGAGATCATTGACATTCCGCCCGAAGGTGAAGGTTGGAGTTTCGTTCCAGACAAGCACAAGTACGAATTCAGGTACAAGCCTGCGGAACAATGCCCACCATCAATTCCAGAGGACACCGAAGAAGCTTTGCAGAATGCCCGTCACTTGGAATCAGCAGTGAACGGGATGAAGCTTAAGGTTCGGGTCAAGTGCAACTACAGGTGTCGGGGTAGAGAAGGATTCTGCACGCACTGCAAAGAAGCCATTCCCCTGCCCCAACTTGCTGCAGCGGCGGTGACAGGTGAGAACCTCGAAATCATCGCAGACACCGGTAGCGAGGAAGATCTGATTAGTCACTCTGATTTGGAGGCCCATTTCAAGGGCAAGGCTAAGAAGGTTGCTTCCAACCCAGTGAGTTTGATCACTGCTAACGGACCAGTAGACGCTGATACCAAGCATGAGGTCTACATTGAGTCATTGAGGAACCCATTGCAGTTCGTTGAGCTCCCCAACACACCTGCAGTTTGCTCTGTAGGAAAGAAGTGCATGGAACAGGGATTCTCTTTCCACTGGCCAACGGGTGAGGCGCCATATTTCATTTGCCCAGACGGTCAGAAGATGATTTGCCAACTCCGAGGCAATGTCCCCGTATTTGGCGACCGAGGACCATTGATGGCATGCTTAGCGGCAAAGTCCTCAGAGTCTGATGGCAGCAAGGTTGCACCGACCTCTGTCAAATCTGATTCGGGTTTTCGGTAAACAGCTGCCCGCAAGGGCATGCCGCACCAGCTAGAGGAGAGCACGAACATGAACCTGAAGGTCCAGCTGGCGCGGCAGGAGATCCCATCGAAAGGATGGCGAACAGTATTCCTCCCATTCCTGGGGTGGAAACAAGACAACTGCTAAAGGCAGGTTGGACGGTCATCAACGGCAGCCCCGCTGCTAAGGTGGCTCATTTCCCAAAGACTTTTCGAACACCGGCTCCTAAGTTCCCGAGGTATAGAATCCGGACTACTTGGGGATTCAAGGATGACGTGTGGTCTTTGTTGGAGGATTCGGTCAACATTGATGAATTGGACGGAATCTATGGGGAAGTACCTGAAGGGACCATTGCGACTATCACATTGTTCGCTTTGCCTGAAGGGGAAGTTGAGGCGCAAGCCGACAGCGATGTCGAGCCATACACTAGGCCAAAGTCTAAGAAGGACGAAGCTTCCTTGAGGGCTGAGGCTGTGTCTTTGGAACATCGACTTACCCATAGACCAAAGAATCCGTTCTGCCCGATTTGTCAAAGGGCCAAGATGTATGCGCCACAGGCGCGGAAGTCTGGTGGATCCTCTACAATCTACAGTAAATCGTTCGGTGACCACATCACGGTAGATCACATCGTGACCGCTGATGCTAAGGATTACGGGTTCCAAGATGAAACCGTGGCTCATGTTGTGAAGGACGTGTACTCTAAGTTCAGATATGTGTATCCTTCCAAGACAAAGTCTGGTGAGCAGTGCTATGAAGACATGTTGCACTTCCTTGGCACAGATGATGAGGTAAAGGTTATATATTCCGACAATGCGTTGGAGTTTGACTTTGCGGCCAGACAGCTTCGCGCTCGTCACAACACTTCTAGGGAGTATGTGAACGAAAACAAGGCCGTAATCGAGCGAGAAATCAGAACCATTTTGGAAGGCACAAGGGCCAATTTAGTGCAATCAGGACTTCCAGATCGCTACTGGCCTCTTGCATCGCAACATCATGCTATGTGTCTCAACATCACTGCGAGGATTGACAACGGTCAGATTCCGTGGGAAATTAGGTATGGTGAAAAGTTCAACGGCATGCGCACCCCCTTTGGAGCGAAAGTCCTCTATTGGGCCCCGAAGAAGCAACGCAAGCCTGAACGATCCAAGTTTTCTGGCACAGGGATTGAAGGTATATTCCTTGGGTACCACATCCAACCTGGTTTTATCTTCAAGCTTGAGTACGTTGTTGCTCCCCTACACAACATCGAAGCCGCGTTGGAAAACGAAGACCTACGTGTGTTTCGCACTAAGAGACTGGAGCTACCCGATGGTGACTTTAAGTTTCCTTTGTTGCAAGAGCCTGCCTTGGATAAACAACCAAGCCTTGATGCACAACATCACAACGTCCTTGATGAGCAAAACCCGCATCCTCCTCTCTGGAGGAAGGGGGGGGGATACGACGAAGCCACAATTCAGGAACAGCTTAGCGAAGATCTGGATGAAATGTTCCCAGAGCTATTTGGTCCTGATCGTGATAAAGATCCTCCGCCGAAGGACGCGAAAGAAGCCACCCGCAAGGGTGAGTCAAAGTCTGATTCCCGTGCAGCATTGCTTGATGATGTTCCGTTCTCTGTGAAGCAGAAGCTGAAGTCCAGCAGCGCAGCAGTAGCAGCGCAAGAACCACCGTATGGTTATGTGTGGAGCGGGGAATGTTTGGTCAAGAAGAACAACAAGAACCGCCCCAACGCTATTGATCATACTGCATGGAAGACTATGTCGAAAAGACAAAGAGCAACAGCAATTGCAGAGCATGAAAAGAAGCTACATGAGGAGAATGAGGCACTGTACCGTGAAGCTGTGAAGGTGGTACCTGCAATGCCAGTCCTACATGGGTGTAGCGAGGAACATCGGGAACGACTTAAAGGGCTATATGAGAAGAAGCTTTTCCAGATCGCAGATGAGATGTATGCTGTTGTCGCCAAGGTCTTATCGTCTAAGGAGATTTCAACAAACCCTAAGGCGCAGGCTGCCATGGACAAGGAATGGCAGAAATTGGCTGACAAGGGCTGCTGGGTACAAGGCAAAGTCAGGGAGTTCGAGTCGGTCGCCAACGAAGCTAAGAAGTCTCAAACCAAGGTGCACTTTGGCAATGTTTTTGAGATTGGTACCCTAAAGGGAGCCGAGCTGAAAGAAGGTGACCCTAATCGTAAGTATAAGGGACGTTCGGTATTTCAGGGAAACAAAGTACTTGACGAAAACGCCGATCACGCGCTCTTCGCGGAGATGTCAAGCAGTCCTGCATCTATGGAAGCAGGAAAGATCCTAGACGTCTTCGGCTCCCAACCTGGTTATGTCATCCAGCAGGCCGATGCTAAGCAAGCATACACCCAAGCCTTGTTCCAAGGAGTGGCCACTTGGGTACGATTGCCTCGCAATCGCTGGCCTAAGGCGTGGCAGGGCATGAAAGATCCTGTCGTCCCACTCAAGCTGGCACTTTACGGACACCCCGATTCAGGGGGGATTTGGGAACATCACTGTGAAGCTGAGTTGAAGAAAGTCGGGTTCGAGGCAGTATTGACGGACATTTGGAAGAGTGTATTCTACCACCCGAAAAGGAAGCTGCTTTTAGTGGTTTACGTCGATGACTTTAAGCTCGCTGGCCCTAAGAACTCTATCAAGGAGGGAAGGGACTTGATCTCGAGCGTCATTGATATGGATCTTCCGGAAGCCATTGGTAGATACTTTGGGTGTATGCACAAGGAAGAACACAACCTCAAGCTGCCCAAGGAAGCACACCCTTTTCGTCATGTGTTTGAGCCCGAACCATCAGCTGCAACTCCTGCTAGAAAAGAAGATTATTGGGACATTGACCCTGAGAATCTCATAGCAATCCGACATCACCGTTATCCTCGCAAAAGACTATATGTCCCCAACGAGGATGATGCTAGAATGTTCCCGGGGATTGGCCCTCGGCGATACACCGTGGTGGCTAAAGCCACCCGCAAGGGTGAGTCGGAGGAAGTTGTTGTTGACAGTTGCAATCAAATGCGCGATCGCTGTCTTCAGGATTGGTGGGACGGCGAAACCTACTTCGACCTCGCAGGCCGGGAACAGTCTGATTTCGAGCTGGCAGTTGCAGCTGCCCGCAAGGGCAAGCCGGTTCGTAACAAGTCTGAGGCTAAAAAGGAGGCGAAGCAGAGCAAGTTTGTTACCTTGTCGCAAGACACGAAAGAGAAGCCCGGTGCAATGACCAAGCCAGTCACTCGCATCACGTACGACATGAAGGACTTCCTTGATTCTTGCGTTGACCGGTGCTGTGAGCTTGCTAAGGTTGAGCGTAAGACCCTGAAACCAGCTGCAACCCCCTTCCATGAGCTACGTGTGGCTTTGCCAACAGCTTCCGAAGGAGAGAAGGCAGGGCGTTTGCAACCTATTGCTAGTAAGGTATTAATGAAGATTTTGTTCGCTGCTCGCATGGCCAGATGGGATCTTCTAAGGGCAACGCAGTCTTTGGCGTCGAGGGTGACCAAGTGGAGTCCAGATTGCGATTTGGGACTTCACAGGTTGCTACATAAACTCTTCGCTTGATGTCACAATGAGCGGTTTCATAGGTGACAGCATAATGCATTGCAGACTTTGGTTGTTCAGCGATTCCGACTTTGCGGGCGAATTCGATTCAAAATCAACTACAGGATGTGCGATGTTTTTGGTCGGACCAAACACGTACTTTCCCCTCAATGCCTTCAGCAAGAAACAAACATCTATCACAATGAGCTCTACTGAGTCCGAAGTGGTAGCGGCAAACCACGGTTTACGTGCCGAAGGTCTACCTTGCCTGAGCTTGTGGTATTTCCTATGGCGTGGAGATGCCGGCCGCAAGGCCGAGCCAAGGGCTGAGAGGGTAGATTCGATTGTTGCACGCATTGATCCTGAACTTGACGAAATTCGTTATGGGTCCACTAGACCAGACGGGTTGTCAATCGCAGACATCAACGGCCTCTGTGTCCAACTTCCTGAAAGTTTCGAGGTTAGACATATGGAGGATAACCAGGCGACTATCACTCTTTTGTTGCTAGGGCAAGCTGGTGTTCTACGACACACTGATCGGACACAGAGGGTGAATTTCTCATGGCTAAAGCAGCAATATGAGGTTGGGCATTTCAAGCTACTGAATGTTGGTACAGCCGAACAAGTGGCGGACGATGCCTTGAAGCTTATTGGACATACAACCAGCGCGAATGTAGCCGGGTGCAAACCCGAGTCGAAGGTCGAGGTCGACAACAAGGTTTCGGTAGCAGCAGCTCCGGATGCAGCAAGGATCGTTGAGGACTTCGCTAAGCAATCGTTCGATGCTAACGATTACAGCTTCAAGACCTTCGAGAAGCTAGCTGGGCTCATACGTACCAATCTCAAGGCATCATTGGCAAAACCGCGATCATTTATGGCTTCTGAGAACATATCCAAATACTTGGTATTCGGCGCTTGGGTCCATGGTGGGTGCTTTGGTATTACCAATCGCACAAAACATTATCCATGGATTTGCAGGTATGTGAATGAATTTGTTATAAGCGATCATCTCCGAAAGGGTTTACATGGACTTCGTTCGTGTTCAACTTCAACGGCAAGGCCCACATCCACACGGATAAGTACAATCAGAAAGAATCGTACAACCTGACGTTCTCCTTCGGTAACTATACAGGGGGGACACTGTGGATTGGGGCGCGAGCCAATTGGGACCACCGGGAATATACACAGATGATCATGGCAAAGACCACAAAGGCTACAACTGCAATACATACCGCAAGCCTACTCTGTTGCATCCTTCAACAAAACATGGTGTACAACCCTACACTGGCGAACGACATTCCTTCATCGCCTACTCGTCAGGGGGGTACCAGAAGTTCAACAAAAAGCAAAAGCAATTCCTACATCAATCACAGTTCCTCTTGCCTACGGCTCAGTTGAAGCTCCCAGCTCAGAAGGCAATGGTTTGTTTGAGGTGTGTTGGTTCCCCTCTCGATGAGGGGGGTAGGCTTAACAAACCGTGTTCTCGTTTCGAAAATGATTCGTTTGCACGCACATCGCTCGAGTGCACAAACACACAACAAACTGCAAGCCTTGACCATGAAATCTTGGCTTCCTTTATGTGCACGCCTGCCATTGCAACTTCAGCTGGCTCTGATCTTCCTGACTTGCCCGAAGCGACTTCTACGATCCCCAGGATGGCAGCCATCGTTGTGAGCGACGAGTTCTGCAGGGTCAACACCTCCGAAGCAGACAGGGCTGGAGTAACCAAGGCCATGAAAACCCTTCTCCAATCCGCCGCCCTCAACAACGATATCATTTCGCTAGGTGCCGATCACGAGAGCCAGCTCTTGGAGTCGGCGTACAGCTGCGTATCCACACAATGCGCGGCTGGGGTGTCTTTGACCCATGCCGACGCGACCTGTGTGGCGCTGCGCCAGATGGCTGACCTCAGCGACGAGGGACTCGCCAAGTTGAAGCCAACCGCAAGGTTGAGCCCCAAGGCCAAGCGAGCCATCATTGTCGTGTCAGACAGCTCCACCGCACTTTGCAAGAAGAACAGACGGGGAGTGTTCGTCAAGGCCGACTTGGATGCGGAAGTGAACATCGCAAGCATGACGCTGGGATGGGCACAGACTCGCTACACTATGTGTTGGGGCAAAACCTTGGCGTGGATTGTCTGGCAGGTCGAGGAACACAGCAAAGAGCTTCGCACCAACTATCCGGACCACACCATCGACGTGATTTGCTGGTGGTGTGGAAACGAGATCTCCGGCCAGTGGGGCTGCATCCCCACACGGCTTGGACCGGGACTCGCCTACAGAGATCCCAATGTCACGACGGAGACCGTCGCCCGGAAGGTGAGGAGGGCCGCAGATGTTTTAGCCGCCCTCGCGGGCGAGCCGGACATTGGTTTCGTGAAGGTGATTGGGCAGGTGGAGGCGGACTTGTTCCAACTCCACTCAGCATACAACGACTTCAACGCCGCCATGTTCGAGGAGTTCAGACAGCGCGGTCTGCAAGTGCAGGCTGCGCGCTCCTTGGTCGAAAAGCTGGAAATGTATGACAGCTTCCACGCCAGTGAAGATCCTCGCAACCGCGAGTTATTCCAAACCTACTTGCATGCCACTTTCAATGCAAGCAGGAGCGAGTGGCTTGCCCAGAAAATGACACCCTGTGTCAGGGCTCTGCTCGCTCGCTATGAGCACTTCGAGACTGGCTCCGGTGCCAACAACCCGGTGCTCGAGGATGTCTTCCAGCAGTGGCGTGCGGAGAGGGACCAGCGCTCATGAACCCGAAGCAGGCGAAGCCAATGCCGGTTACCCAGGAGGACAAGATGTGGGAAGCCCCAGATGCCGCTGACGCAACCGACGTCACCAAGGTCTCCGAGGGGCCACCCATGGATAAAGCCATCCGCAAGGATGTGCCAAGGATTGGTGCAACCACTGATGTGAGTGCTGTTGCGGAGTGCGTCAATGACATTGTCACTCAGGACGCAGATGGTAAGGTATCCTACAATACCCCAGGCACGGTGGAGTTGGTTGATGAGGGAGACCAAGTCGACCCCATCCCATCATCGATTGGCAGAGTTATTGAGCCCGCGGCACCCAAGAAGACCAAGAAGTCTGACCGCGATGAGGACGCCATGCGAAGGCTCATGTTCATCGATGAAAGCGCCCCGCAAGGGGCTGCCACTGTGCCGGAGCTTCCGAATGAGTACTTCTACAACGGTGCTAAGCACCTCATGAAGCCCTTCAATCCGGAGGACATTGTAGGAGACAGGCACGTGACCTTCAAACACGGTGACCTGAAGTTCCTCACCAAGTTGCTCTGCGGCCACGAATTGGAGAACTTCCCTGCACTGATCTTTGACCGTGGGTGCTGGACAGACGTTGACACTCTGCTCCAGGTCTTCAACACGGCACGGAACGCACGTTGGGGCGTGAGGCAGCTGCTACGCGCAGCGAAAGCCGATAACAAGGGACGGATCAGGCTTTTGGGCATCAATGTCCCCATGAAGGACACCCTGGGCCAGCCGCTATTCCCTGTGCGTGTGAGAATGGCCCAAGGGCATAACTCCAAGCTCATCGGCAATAACCCGGACGCTGACTTCTTCCTCGCGACCAGGTTCTACAGCGGATTGTCCGAGGTCGATGCTGATCTGCAAAGCAGCGTCAGGGGGGTCACCGTACTCTCCCGTGAGGACACGCCCTCCAAGCTTTACCACCGCACGAACGAGAAGGGCATGAAGGGCATCCTCCGCGACGGCATGATCGCTGGATCCGCAAGATCGGACAGATCCCACAACTATCTGTCGCCGTATCGGCTGGACGATACCAACTACAAAAGTGGTATGCGATCCAATCAGCCCATTGAGCTGACCATCGATACACAGCGCGCAATCGCCGCAGGATGTGTGTTCTTCGTCACGGAGACCGATGGTGTTCTCACTCGCGACAATGTGCCTCCTGACTGTGTGCTATCCGCCGCCGACACCAGCAAGAAGAACCTCCCGCTCTATGTCGCCGAGCACAAAGAAGCCGCCCGCGAGGGTGAGCCAGAGCGCATTTTCCGCGCCAAGCGCGACTACGAGGAGGCTGCAGCAGCAAGCTCATCGTCGGCACCGCCTCCAAAGCAGGCGGCCATCGCTCCCAAAGCGATTGCTTCTAAGAAGATGCCGAAGGTGGCTCCCAAGCCCGCTGCCATCGTCGAAAAGGACGAGGTTATGGACTTGGATGAAGCCACCCGCGAGGGTGAGCCTGCTGATGCTGGTGGATTCGCTCCTGACGAAACCGAGGTTGAGGTTGAGGTAGATGAGGGCGATACGACGGATGCGGGTGAGGATGAGCCATATCCACTTGGCTCACACCCATGCCGTGAGTGCGCAGCAGTCGTTGCCAATGGCATGCTGTTCTGCCTCCGTTGCAAGGCTCCCCAAACGGACGACTCCAAGAAGATCACCAAGCGAGTCTACGAAAATTCGAGACTCCGCCAGCGCCTCCTCGCCACCGCGGCAACCGGAGCACAGAAGCCCATTGAGGACCTCCTTGCGAGTGATCTTCGAGGCCTCGGCGACGGACCAAAGAAGCGTGGCCAAATGAGTGCAGAGGCAGCTGCGATCCGTGATGCCAAAGACCGAAAGATCAGAGCCGCAAAGTTGAAGATTGATACCGTGTCGGATCGCTTTGAGAAGGACGCGCAGTTCAACGTGAGGATGATGCAAGAGGGCCGCAACTTCGAGGACATGCAGAAATTCGACCACCTGGCGAACGCTGTGCTTCCCGATCCAGGACGCAACGAGGAGCAGCGCTACTTGCGTGCCGGCTCCCATTACGGTGGTGGCAATGTTCCGCCTGCGAAGTTGGTTTATTATGCCCACTGCGAAGTGGAGCCGTTGAGGAACTTGCGATTCATCGATGATACCGCGGATGTTCCCATCGGCTTGACATACCTCGGTGCATTCCTCTCTCCGCGACTCTATGCTGAGGTGGCAGCAGTGAATGACGCTGCAAAACGGATCCTGACTTTCGATGGCGAGGTCTATGTGTCGGCTACCACAACTGAAGGCATCACAACTGAGATCGGCCAAATTCTTACCGATAGCCTCCGTAGTGCTCAGATCCAGACAGACCAAACGGAACGTTTGGCAGAGCGCAATCGCCAGGCTGCAGTCCAGAATCGCCCATCCCAAAAGGGACGCGGTCGCACGACAGCACCCGAGCCGATGTACAGAGGCTATACCCAGGCCCAGTGGGACGAGTACTATCGCCAGCGCCGTGGAGGTTACACTCAGGCCGAGTGGGATGCATGGAACCGCACCCATAGGCGCTGAGTCCTCATTTTGATTTGCTTCGGACCAGCAGGGCTTCCCCGTTGTGCTTTGGCAAGTCTTTCACAAAACGTTGAAGCCCAGGGCAACCTGGAGCCATGTACTATCCGCCTTAGCTTGAGCAGCACGGCGAGGGGGGTGTAGATTTTACCCTGCCTCCATTGCTATTTCTATGGTCCTTAGCTATATCTTTACCCGACGCGTACTCGGCCCAAGTCCCCACTGGAAAAAGGTCCACAGGGTTGACTGAACGGTATCTAGCCGTGCTAAGCTGTTAGCCTGAGAATCTTCACTTACAACCTACTTACTAAGTCCCCTGCCCCTCCAAGTAGGCTTCTTGGCTGCTGTATGCAAGAGCATTGACCGGAAACTAAGCCTTGCAAGTCTGAAAGTGGACTTAGTTTCGGCAGGCTTTTCGAACCACCCCAACCTTTACGGTAACTCTGAACCACCCCTTAAATTAACCCTAGGCCCTGGGCTTAGGGCTGAACTCGACAGTAGATTTTCGGCAGGTAAGGTCGCCGGGCTTATCGAATGTAGACTGGGGTTGGGCGCAAATTTCAGGGCGCTCCAGAGTTAAGCTGCTTGTAGCTTTCTTCTTATTACTGTTATGACTCGTATTGTTTATTGTAAAAACATGTCATCTGTGTGTCGATCTATCCACACTATCTATCTATCTTTCTGTCTGTGTGTTGGGCTGTCCATCTGTCTATGTGTCTATTTAGCTGTCTGCTACCCGCCTGCCTACCCATCTACCTATCTGTCTACAAATCTGTTTACTTCTCTCCATCTATCTGAGCTACCTACCAATCTCCCGATCTATCTACAGGGTAGTTTTCCATATTCGGATACCTTTGAGGGTCCTTCGCGGTATATTTCTTATTATGGGTCATGCAGGATTTATATCATCCGCCGTATCTCATTTGGGGTTGGGCATACTTGGAGGATCAGGGGACATAGTAAGGTTATAAGTACCCTAATGGGGGTTATAAGTACTTATATGTATAGTTACCTTATTTATAGCCCTTGTTACTAAGTCCCATGATCCTTTAAGTAGGATGTGGGTTCTCTCTTCCGGCTTGGCGTTGAAGGAGTCAGCCTCGGGTTCCTCTCTTCCGAAGCTTCGAAAAAAGGGGACTAAAGCCTTCTTGGCGAGGGCTTGGGGTTTAGGGGGCCTGCACCCGAAACTGTGGAGGTTTTTGGCCTCAAGTCTTCCCCGGCTTCATCGAGTTTTTTGTCGAGCTGTTTTATAGCGGAATTTCATTTGAGTGTTGGAGTTTCGGGTTTGGCAAGACGTCAGCGAAGCGATGATCTGCTTATATCAAGGATTAGTTTTGTTAGTTCATTGATATCACTATTGTTTTATTGGGGTGTAGTCGTATGCCCGCACACGAGTACATATACATATATAAATATAAATATAATTATAAATATATATATATATATGTACCTATATATATATAGGTATATTATGTTCTAGATATGTATGTCAAGGCTTGTAACGCTGCCATGCTTTGGCCGAGGCTGTTTGCACATGTGGCCACGCTTCTCTCCTGCAGTGAGGAATTAAGGCATATGCAGCTGGAAGGTTTGGAGTCGTTGTGCTACGTGGAGGAGGATCAGGGGACTTAGCCAGGACGGTTATACGCACTTTAATCGGGGCCATATGTAACTATACGAACAGTTAACTTATTTGTAACCCGAGTTACTAAGTCCCATGACCCTTGAAGTTAAAGGTACCTTCAGCAGCAGGGTTCGTTTGGATGGAACACGCAATAGAGCATTGTACAGCCATCATCTGCACAAAGATGTCGGTTCAAATGCCACGACCCCATGCCTGAAGTACAGCGAGTGAAGGAAAAATCCCTCGAGCAGGAATAGCCAAGCAGCGTTGCTGTTGGATCATCAGGCATACTATCCATGCCGGCGTGATGGGCATCATCTGCGGGAGCATGCAACTCTACTTTTTCAATCCCTGAGGCTCAGAATAGTACTCCCTTATAGCACGATAGCCTTTACTATAACTATAGAATAATATGCCCAAAAGCCTTGTTCTAATCATTGAGGCCCTTGAATTTGGGTGTTCCGGGAAGGCTCCCTGCTTTCGGTTCTTATTCAACCTTCCTGAGCAGCAGACAAGAGGCGTGGGGGTTTCGGGTTTAGGGTTTCGGATTACTGGTTTAAGGTTTTGGATTTAGAGTTTACACCTTGAGGTGCCTACTCAATCCAGAACCCGATGGATCGAGTAGTTCTGAACTAGATTCTAGATATATTGCCTGACAGAGGTGCATGCACATCAAGTATGGGTATGTGGTATGCAGGATGAAGTATGTTTCAGGATAAAGAGACGTTTCGATTTCTTAACTGACAGGAATGCATAGTTTTGTCTGCCAGTGCGCACACACACACACACACACGAATAGCGAGATTGAGGAAACATCTCCAACCTGCACCGAGAACATACAATCTAAGTGCAGGTCGACGGGTTTGAGTGACCCTGCAGCCTCAACTCTAAGCCCCACGTGGAGGATCAGAGGACTTAGTAAGTAAGGCTATACGTACCATAAGTATAGTTACCTTATCCATAACCCTAGTTACTAAGTCCCATGATAAACCCAGAATTTAAAACCTAAGCCCGAAACACGGAAGCCCTACATCCTAGACCCGGAACTTCGCAATACCCCGAGGCCGCCAGAGGCACACCCCCGGTCGATCCGTTGAGGGTTTAGGGTTCCCCACACCGAAACTTCCAGATGATCAGGGCTGCGATAAGGGCTATGATGAGGGCGACTAGAAGGCATGTAGGATTACTAGGTCCTAGGTAACCCTACACCCCAAACCTCATGTAAGATTAAACTTTGCAAGAAAAGCCGAAAGCCAAAGCTCTGAACCCTCACGCCCCTGACCCGACTCCCTGAACGCAGGGACCCCCCCCTCCGAACCCACAACCCCAATCCTTATCCCTAAACCCTGAACCCTAAACCCTAAACCGCTGAAGCCGAAGCCTATATCCTTAAAGCCGAAACGCTTTCAAAACCCCAAAACCGCGAGACCCCAAAGCTTAAATCCCAACCCTAAACCCTAAACCCTAAACCCCTAGGCCCGCAAGGAGACCCCCAAGCAAAGGCACGCCCTGGGTCCCGACCATCTCGCGACCTTAGCGGCCTTCAGCACGCCGCGGGGACTATTTTTTTTGTCTTAAGCACAACCTTGGGATCCGAAAACCTATCGTCTTAAGGGTTCTACCCCCTATTCAGGGGTCATAACCTACTATTTTGTGGATTGTGTGGGGATACTGGAAAGGACGACCTAGCCCCAAGCCCCAGAATGCAAATCCTCAGCTCCCAACCCCGATCTCGAATCCGCAAACGCCGAATCTCAAATTGCACAAGTCCCAAAATCCATAAACCGCCAAGACAACGGTTTAAGGGTTTAGGGTCTAGGGTTTAGGGTTTAGGGAAGTCATAGTAAGAACACCGCAGAGTAGTATACACAGTATCAACAGCGACAGATCATCAGGCCAAGCGCGAGAATGCGAATAACCGCGAAAGCACCAGCCTCAAATCCCAGTACCCTGCGCCCCGGACCCAAACTCCTCACGGTAAGGATAGCAATCTTTTAGATCGGAATATGTTGAGTGCTGTAAAATGTCGCTTAGCCCTAAACCGTACAATGAGCCCTGCGCCTTTACCCGAAACCTTCCGCTCCAAACCCTGTGAACTCCGCAGGTTGTTGAAGCCGTTTACTGTGGCATGGTGTAGAATTTTACATGTTGAAGGGGCCTTAAACCCAACAGGGAATGGAAATAAAGTTTTTGATACTATCCCAACCGTGAACTAGTTTAGTCGTGCCGTATAGTCGAATCCTTGTTCACCCTTTTTGCACCCTTACAGAACCGATGCCAAACCGTGTAGAATTTCGTAGAACTCTTGTAGAAGCTATTTTGAAGGCCTTTATAGAACCTCACGAGACCCCCTGCAGACCTCTTGGAAAACCCTTAAACCCCAAACAGAGAACTCCGTAACCCAGGCTTTTGGAACCCTGGGCCGCGGCGCGGGTGGGTGTCTACTGGGGCCTCGGCCACTGTGCCGGCGTCGCCGGCGTCTTTTGGTCAAAAGAGTGGAGCTCTTCGGGTGTTGGGGTTTAGGATTTAGGGTTGAAGGTTTTTTGGCCATGGGATTTAGGGTTTCGGGTTTATAAAGGATTTAAGGGTTTAGGAGTTGAAATGTAGGGCTTTTGCACAATCCTAGAGCTGCAGAAGCTTCGTAAACGGGCTGAAGGCCCTTAAACTCGAGACTCTAGACCACACGCCCCTTGAACCCCAAACTCGCAAACCCCGTGTTCCCGAAGCCCGGAACAATCCTCAGCCCCAAGCCCGAAGCCGAACCTTACACAGAGTCGTGCAGTCGCCCCCATCGAAGCCTCCAAGGAACCCTTGTAGTACCTTCAACTAGCGCCAAAACCACCAAACCCCTAAACCCTAAAATCCTAAACTCCAAACCCCAAACCCCTGAAGCCCTGAAATACCGAAATTTCAAACAGTCGGTCGAGGTCGCCTTGTTAGTCTTCCTGGCTGGGCGCATTCCCTGGCTGCACATCGACAGTTGGGAGCGCAATGGGGACCGACGGAGTGAACATGATTTTTGCAATAAGGGTTCTAGAGGGATCAAAAACTGCGAGGGTTCTACAGGGGTTCCACCATGGTTCTAGATGGGTTCTATCAAGGGGTCTACCAGGGTTCTAAAAGGGAGTTTCCGAAAATTTAGGGGTACCTTATTTGGGGTCCTCATTTCAATTTTCGTATCAGGGCCCCCCCCAAAACCTCATTATAATTATTAAGGTCCCTATAGCATGCGCCGCCCGGCAGGAAAGAATTAAGAAGTTTCCCTGTAGCTCCGGTATGGTCGGGCTAGCTTCCGAGGTCTTGGCTCCGGACTAGACTAAAATTCTAAATCCTAAACCCTAAACCTGAATTCCGCAAATCCTAAACCCCTAAACCGTGC